CTTACTTTTATCCATCTTGGCGACAATCTAGTAGTATTTTGTTTGAACAAAAACTGCTCACAACACACGCGTATACACAGACGACAAAACAAAACGCCGAACGCCAAAACAATCCACGTGGCACGAATGTCAGTAAAATAATATTTTTGAACAAGTACTTACCATTGCATGCCTCAACTAGCGGGGGCGGCAGGGTTACAAAGAAAACCTCAATTTTATTATTTAAATATCTAAAAAAAAAATAATGATACCGCAATATTACGATACCAATGTAAACCGGTACCGTTTTTTTAAGGTATCGAAATTTAAAGGTATGACGTCATACCGCTTACCGTTTTAACCAGTATTTTTTCGGTTATTCAGGTGGTTTAAATGCTACCGGTATTTTTTTAGGGGGGGAAATCATCGAATGACTTCTCCCGCCTGGGTGAGGTGGGGAGGGAGTGTCAGACTCTTACTGACTATAAACCACCCCGTTCCTTCTCCTGCACGTCGAACCGGAGCCCCGGTAACCCGTTAGGTTCTCCGCGACATGCTACCGGTATAGAGATACTAAATAGACCACATGAACCAACTCTGAGCACTTATTTCAAAACCATAGAGTCGAAAATCTAGGTATCTTACGTCTTCCTATTACTAATATTATATATGCATTTTTGTGTAGATATGTTTGTTACTCAATCACGTCAACACGGTTGAATGGGACGTAGGTCGGTTTGAAATTGCGAACAGGGCTAGATTATTATAGTCTGAAATAACAACATAGGCTACTTTTAATTCAGACAGAAGGTGGAGGTATATAAGTTCAGTAGACACCAGAAAGTGAAGTGCTACTTTTTTATGGCATAAGCTGGTAAACGAGCAGACGGATCACCTGATGGTAAGCAATCGGCGTCGCCCATGGACACCTGGAACATCAGAGGCGTTACAAGTGCGTTACCGGCCTTTTAGGGATTAGGAGTTTGAGAATCGTTGAGGATTCAGGGATTGGGGAGACTGGGGAAGGGTAGGGTAATTGGGCCCCGGTAACCTCAGTTACACGACGAAACACAACGCAAGCGTTGCTTCACGTCGGTTTTCTGTGAGGCCGTGGTATCACTCCGGTCGAGCCGGCCCATTCGTGCCGAAGCATGGCTCTCCCACACTTAGCTACTTATTATCCCTTCGGGTAATAAAAGGCCGTGATATTAGGTTATATAAACAGCTAAGCTAACCAGACTCAAGAGAAGTAAACCAAACTGTAGGCTATATGTTACTGTTAAAGAAGCAACGAGGTATATCACTTTTATGAAATCGTCAAGTGTGACAGTTAAGCATCTTAGCGACTGCACTTCCAGCAATTAGACCATCCAAGCAGACCAAGCTGACAAAATACACATAAAATGGACCTTACTACTTTGGAACAAGGTTGCTAGTTTCTATCTGTAGTTTTAACTCTCTTTGTCAAGGTAAAATGGTTAGAAAAAACAGTCTTGTGATAGTAGGAAACACTGACATTACAAAAACAGTAGTAGGTCATTTTTTTATTGACTATTGTTACTACCTGCTATGTATTACGTACCTTAGTAACACTTTACATAATAAATAATTAACTGTTTATGAGAAAAAACAATATAATGAATATATTTTTTATGTTAAAACAAGTAAATTGTCTATTCAAGTGCATGGTTGATGATGACTTAATTGATTGTCCTAGACAATTTAGGACCGGGAGTAGACGTTAGCGTTGTGTTCCACGCAAGGAAATCGCAGCCTCCAAGGGCTGCTACGTGGTGGAACATACCGCAACATAGCGGTAGGTCGAGACCTGCCGTGTGTAGTGAATCCGCAAGGTTTTAGCTGGTAAGAGTCCGGCACCCCCCCCCCCCCTCGTATTTAAACAAAGTATCGAATGAGTAATGTTTGTTAATATCTGTAATTTCCACACTTCTATGCAAATGTTTTTTAATGTGATAAGCCGGTGAACGCGCCTCACCTGATGGTATGGTATCGGCCCCGCCCATGGATACACACACCAAAGGTACACACCGATGGTGTTACAAGTGCGTTGCCGGCCATTTGGGGGTTAGGCTTAAGGTTATATTTAAGCTTTTTTGGGATTTGAGGAGATTCGGGAGGAGGGTAATTGGCCTCCGGTAACCTCACTCACGTTGTTTGACGTCGGTTTTCTCTGAGGCCGTGGTATCACTCCGGTCGAGCCGGTCTTTAGGTACTTAGGACTTCAAATACCAAATCTCAAATCATTTTTTAACTCGTCGAGTACCGGTTTTGTAGACACAATTATAGAACAATAGGTTGCATGCGGTCACCGGTGACCGCTTGGTGTTTGACAGTTTGCTTAACCAGTTGGAATCACATGTTTTATGTACCTAATTAAGATTACATTTAGGAGTATATCATAATATCATTAATATATCTTTTAAACTTATAAAATGAGATAAGATTTATTATGTAGGTACATACTTTGTACATTGGGGGGATAGGTAAATCCCCTCTATAAAGATTATGTAAAATGAAGACAATACCGAGAAAACAATAATATAACAATGATATAAGTTCTTTTTCTTAATTGAAAATCTACTTAGCAGAAGTGCAATAACTATGTAAAATAAAATTGATTTATTAACCCTGTTAAAAGTATACAGAGCGGATATAAATGGAGCCGTCGGTAGAGGGAGCCCTAGACGGACATATAGTGACCAGATTGGCGATATATTAAAGAAGGGCCAAATTAAAAGTACCCTTAACTGACGAGCATGCATGAAAAGATTGATTGACTGTTGATGAAGCGAAAGAGCTATGTAGGAATCGTAGTAATTGGCGTTCCCTAGGGAACGCCGTAGGCAGAGACTTTTCTCTGCCTACCCCCATGGGAGACAGGCGTGTGAAGTTATGTATGTATGTATGAATGGATTTATTAACCAACGTCAAAAAAGGAGGTTTACAGGCACATACTGATGAGCTGTATGTTTGTGCGGCATTATCTCGCGATTGGCCGAATCGATTCTGATATGGTGTTCAGAAAAGTGTTTTTTACGCTAAGGGAAAGGTTTTAAACTGTCAAACACCAAGCGGTCACCGGTGACCGCAACCTATTGTTCTATAATTGTGTCTACAAAACCGGTACTCGACGAGTTAAAATATTAATGAACCGACTTCATAAAAAGAGGGGCTTAAAGTATAAAATAATAATTATTATTACCCATATATCCATAGGCTACCCTATGGACCTATTGTATACTATATACATATCTAATGGTTCTACTATCTATATAGTAGAACCTATTATGGGATAATAATTTTGACCGAGACAAAATACTTTGTAAAAATCAGGATCCTCAGTAACTAATGAGAATTTGCAGTGCATTCATTGGAACCGTTAGTCGGTCAGTCACAGAGTAATCAGTAACTAGAACCTAAAACTGGTTGGAATGCAAAACCAGGTCATTAAACAAGGATATTATTAACATAATATTAGTAGCTATTTAAAATTAATTGCAATACTGTTCATAACAACAGATTAAGTCATCAATTTGCGTTTAACCTATTTGAATCTAGCTCAAATTATAATATTTTTTTTAAACCATTTCAAAAAACGAAAGTGTCTGTTACACTTGGAGGAAGTTTTAGTATACCAACTTAACTTTAAACTGTCAAACACCAAGCGGACACCGGTGACCGCAACCTATTGTTCTATAATTGTGTCTATAATGACGGTACTCGACGAGTTAATTTAACTTTATTAACCAACTTCAAAAATGAGGGGGGTTTGAACTCGGTTTTTTCAAACTTTATAATGTCAATAAGCAATAAATATTGACTGTAGATTGAAAATTCCCAATGTAGCTCACCGGGAGTGGTGTTAATATGTCCATATTATGTAAAAGTACAGGAGAAACATGTTTTATTTGCAATAAATATTGATTGCTATTTCATTCCATAAACAGTTAATTAATTGTCACAATTATTAATTACTTTTGTAGTCAAGAGAAGAGAAAGTCAGTTTATATTTTTATTTATGTTAATGGTAACAAAGTAGGCATATAAATAATAACAGTTGTTAATCTCATTGGGTTGTTACTTGATATTCTCTGACTTATTGGAAATAAGTAGTATCTATTGGTAATAGTAATATCTATAAGATTTTTATTAAGGAAGGCTATTATAACATTAGAAGCAATAGGCGCCAAATAGTGGGTGAAAGCATTTCACAGTTATCATTTCATTAGATTACCACTAGGTAATCTTATACTATTATATAAAGCAGAAGAGTTTGTTTTTTGTTGTCTGTTTGCGCTAATCTCTGTAACTGCAAGTCTGATTTGAATAATTCTTTATGTGTTGGATAGCACATTTGTCTAGGATGGCTATAGGTTATAAAACATCACACTACGACCAATAGGAGCTGAGCAGAGCGTGTGAAACCGCGCGGAAGTAGCTAGTTTTTTTATAAATTTGATGGGATGACATTCAACCTCACAATAATGAGAACTCTGTTTATAGATGCCTTGTAAAAGATGAAAGAAGCTAAAGAAGTAGGTGGTATTTCATTTCTACCTAAATAAATCTGTGTGTAATGAACACTTATGACAGCATTACAAAAAAAAACAATTACCGGTTTAGACCACGAAAAAAATTATCATTTAGTTCTGATTTATTTATTCATGACTAGAACAGTGTTTATTTCGAAACTAACCATAGCTATAACTTATTCAATAACAAGTGATTGTAATTGACCCACATAAGCTCAAAACTTTATTAACACAGTGACAAACATTACATAAGACACCAAATAAACCTGTCGAGTTTACTTAAATACCTGTTTCTTATAAGATTGCTATTGGTAAAACTAGTACTAGTTTTGTTATTATTAATTTACTAGTAAAATGATCTTACCTCACTGCTTTCGAAGCCATCAGGGTTCAGGGACGGCATCAAGTGTATGTCAGTCGTGTTCAGGAGCTTAGTAACTCTCTCATCCTTCCCATAGTTAGCAAGAAGGTACTGCGCCAGGTACACCATCAACTGTCTCCCCACGGACTCGTCTCCATGCATATTAGCCACGTATTTAAACGACGGCCGCTCATAATGCGGCGTTTTCACATCCTCGCTTATTTGCAGAACCAACAGTTGCCGTCCTTGCACCGACTTCCCAATAGAATATGATTTGATCAGATCCGGGTAAGTCGATTCTAATTCACTAGTCAACTTCAACAAATCATCGTATCTCGTGTACTTAGGATGCAAGAGGAAATGTTCGTCGATTTCCTCCACAGACCGAGACGCACAGTTATCAATAAAAAGTGCAAATAACACAAATAAACACGTGTGAACTAGCAACATGTTTGCTCCTTTATAAAGAGCTTGTCATGAGCGCGAGGGTATTTACCGTTTACAGCCAATGCAGGAACGTAAACACTATTTTATCGCCGTAAACATGATCAGCGACACAACGTTTAATGTAAATTAATTACAAAAAATGATAAGAAGAGTAACAATAGGTATTTGTATGCTTTGACAGCTGACGCATTTCACACACTCCGTTTTGTGCAGTGAATGACGAACTCTGCAAAATTATGTTGCCAGACTCACATTCCAATTTTACCTATATTTACCTCCGAATTTAGGTGCAGCCAGTGCAGATGTAAGTCATCACGGAACATTATTCAAAAAACCGACTATTGTGTGGCCATATAGAAAAAAATTGGTAAATTTGGAATACATTATATATTCATGAAACTATTCTTGAATGAAAAATATATTAATTTAGTGAGTAATACAACTTAAAATATAAATATACATATTTTCATTTAGTAATAGTTAATATTATTTGTATATAAATAGCTAATTCGATAATATTTTATGTACTAAGAGAGGTTATGTTTACTAATAATTTTGAACTTTATTGGTCTAAAAAAAAATTTTGTGAGTTGTGCTATTTTATTAATGGATATTAGAACACTTTATATCTCTATTATATAATATCCCTTTTGATTGAACTTGGAAAAAAATATCTTGAAAACGGTAAACCATAATAGTGAAATAGAGTACCTCATAGAAAGGAATTTAGTATAGGCTGGTATCATTTTATGCAATCTGTCACTTGACGTGTCAACCAGTACGTTTCATTTTACGCAATACATTCGCTATGCGTTTATGTGGGTAAAATAAAATTCTAAAAGTGTATTTCTAGTTTTATTTGTGTTCCGTGAAGATTTCTGCGAACAGCAGGTCGTAATTTTATAGTAAGAATGTACTACTTAGTCTATGGCCATGTATGTAAATATCATGAAAGTCTCAACAGTGGATGGTCAATAATGTTGTGGTTTTTTATTGGTAGAAATACAGCTTCGATTCTCAAAGGATTAGGACTAGATTTTATTCCTTTCTAAAATAACGCGTAAGGGTCGCTAAGTATGGTACTGTATGGTCACCAAAGAGTTCAATAAATATAAGTAGTTTCGAGTAAAATAATTTTTAGATAATAAGGCTCCATAGTCAATCTAGTCTGGAATTTCTATGGAATAGAAAATAGTTTTTTTCTATTGCATGAGAATTTCGAAACCGATGTTGTTTTTTCTCGGCCCCTACCTTGCAAGCGGGCCACAATAAAGTAGTAGTAAAAAGGATAAGGAAAATAAAAACAAAAACTTAATTTAAAAAATAATGCAGTTTATTATTTCTTTCTTTTTCAGTTAAATCTAAATCATACAACAAATGATTTGTGCAATAAAACAGCAGTTTCATCTAGAATAACATAGGAACTTATTCTAACAAATTCACTTAGGCATAAACTCTGCAAAAATATAATTATTATATTTGTAATCTCAAGCTATGTAGGTACTGTACTTTGCGCGTATTTTTGGGTTATTCTGTGCTAACTTTTCGCCCGCGGTTTCTTCGGTCTCTTAAGATTTAAATATATGACAAACAAATAAACAATTTCGCATTTACAATATTACTAAGTAAGAAAGTAGGGGTAGTTCCATCTCTACTGTTAAATATTGACAACAAAATAGAAATTTTGTATATTATTAATCCATTTCTAATTCGAGAAGTCAAAGTAGGCATATTAAAGCTTTAAGTAATGGGCTGCATCAAAAGTATCCTTTAAAAAAACATCATCTTATCTTATCAAGAATGTCGTAATAAAACGGCAATTTGAAAATTTAGAACTATTTAAATTGTTTTTAAAACTATTATCATCATCGAAACTTTTATTTATCTATTGTGTAAAATATAACGTTTTACTCTTAAAATAAATACAACATAAAAACTAACTTGAACACAATACAACTCTTGACTTGAAAACTATTTTACTGTTATTTATTATTTACACTTTTAGTAGGATTAGTGAGTTTTTAAATATGAATGATAAAATAGTTAAAATCACTGGTTGTTTTTAAATCACTTGCGTTGTAAACAGCAATCTAAAAAACAAATCTAAGGACTGTCGTTTTTGCGCCGTCTAGATGGCGCTACTGTAGCTGTCAAAAGATGGTTCAAGAATCTTGAGTCAAGATCAAATAGTATCGCATTTTCTTCTACTAAAGCCATTGGTAGTTGCCTTAGCCTAGAAATTTTAACTAAAAGTTGCGTTATCACGTATTTCAAATCAAGAGTAAATAAAATACATATTATCACAATCACACATCACTGTACATAACAAAACAAACATAAATTATACAATTTAATGGCGAAATTACAGGACATCTAGCAGCTAATAGTTTAACTCGAAGTAATTTAATTATTACTAAAACAATAAACAACACGAGACGACCAACATCAGGAAATATACAAAAAAAGTATTAATTACATTTGTGTATAAAAATATCGTAAAAACTCGACAGTAAATGCATAGAAAGTAGTAATTATTTACATTTTCTTTTTCATTCATAAAATAAGGCACGTGACATTTCCTTTCACGTTTTCCCGCCAGCTACAGACCACAGATTAAAAATATTTCTTTCTGCAGAGTGCGCATGGACTGTGTACATTATTATATTGCTTATGCTGAAACCTTTACTTAAAATAGGAAATTGACTTGTCAATTTGAATAAAAATACTTTATTCAAGAAAAAACTGTCTTTATCTTAAAAAATATAGCAAATTCTATCAGGCTCTACTTTTATTTACGTTCCTTTTTATATAGAAGCCAATATTGGCGCCAAGATTCGAAGTCAACATGCCACACTTGTACATGCACCATTGAAATAGCTAACGATAGTTTCTTTACATAATAATACAGCAAGCATTTCTATTAATACAATTATTTACATTCCAAACATCGTTTCCATGGCAACGGACAGGACGGCACAGCACAGCTACACAATATAGGCTATATTTAAACTAACTTCCTATTCCGCTAGAATTTATTTTTAGGTATATTGTACTAGTAAAAGCTGTGGTAAGAAGAAAATATATATAAAAAATACATTTAAGTATTATTACTATTAATAAGGCATTGTGCGTACGCGCATGCTATTAAAATACAAGTAATATTGTAATATTATATTTCTGTGTCTATGCTGTCAAACTAGAATATTTCTAAATGTTTTCGAAAGAGGTGGTATAGTAAAATTCTCAAAAAATCGTAATTAAACCTATTTTCAAATTTTGAAAATCTTAGTATTACTGTTTAATACTTTTATTTAATACAAAAATTTGTTCACAAAAATTCCATTGTTTTGTCGTTTTCAATTTAAATTCTCAATTTCATTTACATAATCGTAGCGTCAATAACGCGTCGTTTTTGTCGCAATACCATAAACAGTAAACGCCACAAAATGGCCTTATGAACATTAATAAAATAACCTAACTTGTTCAATATTTTACGCTAAAATACATGGGGCATTTAAGTTCAAAATTTACAATGCCTATCTCATTTTAATTGTAAGAAGAAAGCTCGAAAAATAGCAATAATCCTATAGGCCACAATAGTACATTTTATAATACATTTTAAGACACATAAATGACAATCCTACCTCATATTTTTTTTTCATGCAGATAACATAACCTCATGCGTTTTAATCTCCAAAGGGGAGATGGGCATAGAATGTAACACACATTTACAATTATGTTATGAATCCGTGAACCCTATTATGTAATAGGGTTACCTTCAAATGATTTTAAAAATAGTATTTCATTTGCGTATAATGCATCTTGAACAAGAAAAGAGAGCAAATTCAACATTTCATAATTCATAAAATAAAATTTCGACAAGAGTAAAGATAGGAAAAGAGTAATTTTTAGCTTAACAAGCGGGACTTGCCAATAGTACTGACTTGACTGATAAACTGATGAAGATTATTCTTTTAAAATAATTAGCTAAATGCACCTCTATTTGTAAATTGTAGGTATAGCTCGATTTATCACGCAGTGTCATATTGTTAGGGTGTTTATAGAAAATCAATGTATACTGATTCTACAGTGACTTGACTATAGGGCCAAATCCAAAGTTGCCAGAATAAAATGGGGGCTTTCTGCTCGGCTTCTTTTAACCCTAGGTATTATATAAGCGTCTCAAAAGCCTATTGTTCACCTAAAAAAGTTCTCAAAAAGAAGCCTGCGGTAAAAATCAGGTACCTAAAGATAGGTTCAGACTTAGATTATTATTTAATGACTTTTCTGGAATCTCTCAGTCCAGAAGATGTTGGCTAGGATGCCAGCGGCCATTAGAGAACAGTAGATGAGAACTGCCGCCCACCAGAGCCGCTTCTCCCATTTCCTCTTTTCAAGATTACGAAGAACACCGATGCCTACTAGAAGACCTGGAAATTAAACAAAAAAGATTTTTAACTTCAAATTTCGAATATCGACTCGCAAATAGCTAGTAAAAAGAAATAAAGCAAGATTTAATTTTTTCAAGGGAGTCTTAAAAGTAGGCAGAAGTTATCACCACTTGTGTTACTGGCCTAATAACTATTGCCAAAGGTAAAAAAGTATTTATTTCGATTAAACCCTACTTCGGTACTTTTGAAACGTCAATAATTAATAGCCTATCAAGTCTGTCCGTCAGTGAAGATAGGTGCTCGTTCTAAAATGTAGATTCAAACGGAGAAGAACGAGCAAGAAACTCCATTCGTTACTCTTTCAGTCAATGCAGGTTAATAAAATTAAGTGAATATTTTTCTTACCGGCAACAGCTCCGGCTAAATGTGCAACGTAACCAATGTTTTGGTCTAGATGCCGCCAATATCTATCATACACAGCGGTACCAATGTCTACTGCCGCCAATAACACGAACACCAATAGCTGGATGATGGCAAACTCCATTTCCGACCAGTTCTGGAAGCGAACGCATGAATTGATTACAATTAAGAGTTTTTAAAATTAAAAAAAGAGACACACTGGTTTATATTATAATCGTTTTTGTTTCGCCATCCTTACTAATATTATAAATCAGAATGTAAGTTAGAAGTCTGGATTAAATAATAGGGTACGTTTTATCCCGGAAAAAATGATATTCCCGAGGGAAAACAAAAGTATTGGTATAGATGGCGCTGTGAGTGTTGGTATATGTCACATAGGCTACTTTTTATCGCTTTGTGACGCGAGCGAAGCCGCGGGTAAAAGCTAGTAATCGATAAACAACCACCGTCTATTCAGCATTTTCACATCATGCCGTAATGGACCTAATTAATTCATCATCATCATCAGGTATGGGAGAGCCATGCTTCGGCAGGAATGGGCCGGCTCGACCGGAGTGATACTACGGCCTCAAAGAAAACCTACGTGAAACAACGCTTGCGTTGTGTTTCGTCGTGTGAGTGAGGTTACTGGAGACCCAATTACCTCCCCTCCCCAATCTCCCCAATCCCTGAATTCTAACAATCCTCAAATCCCCAAAAGACCGGTAACGCACTTGTAACGCCTTTGGTGTTACGGGTGCCCATGGGCGACGCCGATTGCTTACCATCCGATTGCTCACCAAAAAAAATCATTTCAGCCACAGGACGTCCACTATTGAACATAGGCATCCCCCAATGACTTCTAGATAGGTCTGTTGGAAGCGACATGCCCACTATAATTTACCAAAAATCGACATTATACGATCGAAAAACTAAATACCTATCCAGCAAATAGAATAGATAACCTTGAATCAGCAGTCTAGTCACAACATTAACTCTAGACAAAAAACTAGCTTACCATAATAATAGTAGCGATATGAGCTGCGATTAACGCATACACGCCTCCTGAAGCTCCAGCTAAATAGACCTTGGGATCTGTGAGGCTGGTGGCCAGGGACCCTGCGGCCACGCCCGCCAGGTACACCAGCACCACTCGCCACCATCGATGCACCATCTCTAGTGGGACGCCGAGGAACAATTGCACCAGAAGATTGACTAGGAGGTGGACCACGCTGGAAAACATAATTTTCTCAATCTTAACTCGAGTAATGTCGTTAATAGAGCTCTTACAAAAATTGGATTGGGTTTCAAAGAACATTGAAATTTTTAGAAAACATGTGCGTACCCTACACCCTATGCAGCTTTAAGCTTATAGCAAAACTAGCAATTAATTTTGATGTGCAGAATTTGTTATCGTTTATCAAATTTGTACCATTTTGTTCAGAAGTTATTCTACGATTATTTTCTTAACAGATTAATTTGAATAAAACTATATTCGTATAAAGCACTTTATAAAGAAGTTTTTTAGCCAAGGTTTTATCATTAATTCTTTTCAGAACTCCAAGTTCCAATGCCAATAAAATGCCCATACATTACTTTTGCGTTGCAGTCTAACTAAATCCGCCTGTTTGAATACATTTCATATTCAATGTATGCACATAGTGTCAAGGTTTGTGTGAATACTTGCACAATAACAGCAGACTGAATAAAAAGTGCACAATAAAATATTTCCGAGTCTGGGAATTTGATTGATTCAGACATAATAGAGTTGCAGTTATATCCTAACTGTAGATATATTTTCGTCCTATGAAAAAGCTGTCTCGTTAGACTAATGGAATAGTTGCAAGAGGACGAGGTCTTAAACTGTCAAACACCAAGCGGTCACCGGTGACCGCAACCTATTGTTTTTTAATTGTGTCTATAATAACGGTGCTCGACGAGTTAAAATTGATTCTGCAGTAATATCTCCTTTTATACTAGAGCTGCTTTTCGATAATAACCTAACCTACGTTAGGTTAAGTTAGTGTCGAAACGAATAAGTAAAATGAGAAGATTTATAAGACGGGCCATCTCCATGAAGTCTTAACTACATTAAATGTAAGACTCGAAAGGTATATGAAGTTAAGTTCCCTTATTAAGTCGTTTGCGTCACTGGAAGTATGTACTCGTAAATTGACGCAATTCTGATGTTTTGACCACGATTGCGTCAGCGTCAGCTCCTTTATCGTCTTATTTTTGCATAAGTATAACCAGGAACGTCTGAACTGAAAATTTCTTCTTGCGTGGTTTTGTGAAACAAGTGAATTTATTTCTGCAAGTAGGCTACAAGACAGTACTTTTACACGTCAATTTTAACCAGCGATCAATTTTTATATCTAATTTGGACTACATAATCAATATTCATATCTCTGTGAAACTGCAAGTTTCTACTTAAGCGGTTTAAACTAATCTATGACTAAAATTGACTGATTTTACCCAACCATCCATCCAGGGCCAGCCGTATTAAAGGACGACTTAGGGATAGTATCATATTTGACTGCACAGTCGATCAGTTTTAAAACTACAGCAAGTTTTGGGTATTTTGGACTTTCATGGAATGATACAATCAAACCTTTCATGCTAAGTATAAAATAAAACTCACCCGACATGGACCAACATGTAGGTAATAAATCTCCACGCCTCCTGTCTCTTGTGTGGGTTGTAGATGAATAGCTTGGCGATAGTTCCATCGCCTTGCGTGTGTCCGTGAGCAGCATCGTAGCAAAACAGAACGATTTCCACCAGGGAGATGAGGATCATGCAGATGGCGGGCGGCCAACAGCTGTACTCTTCTTCATAGGTCCCGTCTGAGTATGTAAAGATTGACGTGCTATGGGCTGGATAACGCAACAAACAAGAGGCGAGTCGGGAAATAGGGAACCGTGGGTTAGGAATTCAGAAAAGGATCATTTTTTTCATTTAAAACGACGTAATATCCATGTGAGGAATGATAACAAAAATGTTAAATATAAACATTAGTCATTTTGCGATAAAGTTTATGATCCAATGAATGAATGCAGAATGAATTCAGTTTGTCGAAGTTATAAATAGATTTTTGAAGTATTGTGGCCACAATAGGCAAGAATTAGAGCACGCGATGCCCGAGTGACAGCCATTAGATGTTGCGACAGCAACGGGATGTATTAACCAATTAAGGCGTCGCGTTACGTTAAAGGGCAAATTGTTTTTAATTAAGCGGTCATTCATATTTGCATTATTTGTTTATTTATTTGCAAGAACAGTATTAATATAGGAACGGGTATTTAGGAGAAAGGGAACACAAACAATAACATAAAGGGAGAAAACACAGAAAAAAAAATCTTTGTTAGTAAATTGCATTGCAAACTTATAACTAAAGTTATTAACTGTGCAAAAAGCGATACAGGAAAACTATGACACAGATTGTATAATAAGAAAATATCTTTTAACAGCAAATAAATACAATATGAGCGAAAATACAAGGAAAAGTGTCACATAATAGTGAATGACGACATTTTTATATCTGTGTCATAGCTTTTGTAGCAGCAAAGCAATTAATTGACGACAGTTAATTGAGAGCATTTGCGCATTAATACGGCACCATAATCCCTTCACCTTGGTGGAATGGAGACAAATGATGTGATGGTGAATTGTATACAACATAACAGTGATGCGGGCACTGATTAAGACCAAGGGCGCAACAGAATGAACGGGCTCCTTTATCTATGCAAACTTTGTGAAGAGAACGCGCTAATGCGATATACAAGCCACTGAACTGACTATAAGGGCGATAATTGATAAATTATACAGAAATCTAAATCTGAAACATGTGTTTATGTTTCTGTACTCTAGCAACAGCGGGTTTATTTAGGCGTCAGTAGGTACTTATAGCAAAAATACACCCGGTTCAGATGAGAAATGTTTGTGAGTCAATACTATTTCTAATAAATCGTGAAATGAGTATAACGTACACACATTAAATATTATTTATTATTAGATAACATACCGAAGTAATCAACAATATATCTCACGTACTTCAAAGTTCTATTCCACGAGTCTTTACACACACTTAACCCATATCTTTGTTCACTTAAAACTTTGTAACTGCACCCATTGGTCTTTTTACACATTCTGTGCCACATTGTGTCCAACACTAACGTACTTCGGCACCGAGATCGTCTACATAATTAGAACCGCATTAAAAAAATAATTAAACAACTTTTTTTGTTTACAAGGTCTCCAATCAATACACGGAACCACACATTACACACTTCACCTTGACAATTATCCCAGACTTCCCCTACATTTTGTTTATATTTTTGTGTTACCTGCAAAAAGGGATATTTTGGGCCCTTATCGTTAGGAATTGGAGCGAAACGTGAGGTCGCAGTACAGGCGTGCACCTGAATGCGACGGGTATGACATACTATGGAAAAACCTTCGAGTCGACTGCGCCAGAGCACGATATGCACGGGTGAACTGTGACGTAACAATACATTCGGATGGACCTCTAACTTGAGCCGATATTGGCGGGAATCGAATGATTCGGAACAATTCTATAACGAGACGACAAATTGGTCTGAACGAATACAATTGGGGAGCGACGAGTTACACAAAATTGTTTACAATACGTTGTTTATAAGTTTTGTATGATAGATACGTGTCACATACTCCAATCTCGAGAAAATTCATTATAATTACGATGCAAGTTAGTTTACTTTTTATGCCTGAATTTGGAATTCAGTGTAATTGAAATTATTAACCGACTTCAAAAAAGGTTTAAACTGTCAAACACCAAGCGGTCACCGGTGACCGCAACCTATTGTTCTATAATTGTGTCTGCAAAACCGGTACTCGACGAGTTAATTGATCGAACAATAAATTAATGAGTGGTTTTCCTCTTGCACATTAAATAAAAGTCAGGGATAAGAACGATTTTGGCACGAGTATAATTTTTTTTTTATATTCTTTTACATTTATTTGTAGTTTTCTTCGGTTTTCCTTGAGATATAAAATTGTGTGAAAACCCACACGCATGCGTATCGCAAGAACGAGTAAACAAAACGTAAGTATTGCTTTATAGTTTATATGAATGTCACCTTTAAAACAATGATCCAAGAATGGACGTCTCAAACGATTCGTTTAACATTTTAATTAATAATCTTTGAAAAACTAAAAAATCTGGGAAATCACCCAATGCTTGTTTGACCAGATGCACGATGGAAACTAAAGAAATATGTATTGTATTATTACTCTATCGATTATACATATATCTGTATTTTTCAGCTTGCCTTAAGAGAGAAAAAGAAAAATATATCTATGTAGACATAAGTATGACTGCACGATTGGCGCGGTGGCTGGACAACCGGCTGCCGAGCAAAACGTCGCGGGTTCGATTCCCGCACGGAACAACTCTTTGTGTGAATCACAGTTTGTTGTTCGGGGTCGGGGGCCATGTATATGTGAAATTGTATGTTCGTAAACGCACCCACGACATAGGAGAAAATCCTAGTGTGAGGTAACGTTTGAAAAAAATGTAGCTACAACATACTTATAAAAAAATATGTTGCCATACAAAAAAACATTAATTATACATTTTAGGAAAAGTTCCCTTTCTGAATACCTTCAGTTTAACAAGCTAAATTGATATTTTAAAGCCTTAGAAGATATGATAACCTCTTCAATTGTGTCATATAATTTTCCTGTTAAGAACGGAATGAATGGCCATATCATGGCTGTAGGCATTGTGACTATGACCTACGTACGTCAGTTGAATGACCCTAGTGTAGGTATTTGTATGTCGCGGAGAACCTAACGGGTAACCGGGGCTCCGGCTCGACCTGCATGTGAAGGAACGGGGTGGTTTTTAGTCAGTAAGAGTCTGACACTCCCTCCCGCCTCACCCAGGCGGGAGCAGTCATTCGATGATTTTCCCCCCTTAAAAAAAGTGTATTTGTAATAAGGTATAGGTCTAGGTTTTCTGTAAAACTACAATACTATATTCTATGTTAAAATTATTATTTCAAATAAATTACATAACATAACATAATATCACGCCACGCCATTTATCCACGAATGGTAGGCAGAGGTGCACATTATGCCACTGTACAATGTGACACCCACTTTTCACTATTTATGTTATAAGTCCCTTGTAATAGGGGGTGAGCCTGTTGCCATTATACCGGGCACAATTCCAGGCTCCGTGTTACTACTAGGATTTTTTTTTAAAACCTAGTAATACTTTGCCCGACCCGAGAATCGAACCCGAGACCCCTTGCCCGGCAGTCGCACTTTCGACCACTCTGCCAACGAGGCAATAAATTAGTTTTATTGTGTATAATTTGTTGTATGTATTTTTTCATAAAGCCGACCCAGTTTCAGATTGAATTAAAAACTAATTAAAATATTAGTCATTTACTTCGTGGTTTGCAAAGATAAATATGTACAATAATATATTTCCAAGTATTGTTTTACAATTAAATTACGAATAAATGATTCGCCCATTTTCCTATTATAACAAACTTTAAGTTATCACTGCCGCTAAATTGTTCGATACAATATTCGTAACTTTAAATTACTTAGAAATCCAGTCACAATTCCTGATAAAACCAGGAAGTTATTAATTATTCAGCCTATTTAATGTAAATATCACTATGTATGTATTGTACACTGTACCTACACTTATGAATTAAATCAATTTGATATACCTACGAAATACAAAAACAACGCTACGCCTTTTAATATTCAGAGGGTTTTTTTTTTTTTTTTTAAGGGGGGAAAATCATCGAATGACTGCTCCCGCCTGGGTGAGGCGGGAGGGAGTGTCAGACTCTTACTGACTAAAAACCACCCCGTTCCTTCTCCTGCACGTCGAGCCGGAGCCCCGGTTACCCGTTAGGTTCTCCGCGACTCCGAATCGGCATCGGCCCTATTGGGCCCCATCTGTGGTGGTCTGATGGCTCTTTGAGGCGCGCGCGGAACGCGACGCGCCGTACGCTCGGGTCTGTTTCTGGTCGGACGGGGAGCCACCCATGCTCGCCGTCCGCAGGCCCGCGCTTACGGTGGCCGGAGATCGTCCCGCGATCCCCGACGCCCGGTGTGTCCTTCGCGATGGCTGGGTTGCGAGGAGGCAGCGCTTCGCTGCCTCACGCGTCCCGCCTCCTCCTTAGCTAGCATGACTGCTTCGCAAAAGGAGGAGACGGCATCCCAATCCCCCTCGCTCCGCATCATGGCCTGCACTAGGCCCGGACGCGAGAGGTCGCCATCGCCGATCACTTCCCTGAGGACACGGCGGTGCTCAGCCCACGAAGGGCATTCTCCCACCGTGTGTTCCACCGTGTCCTCAGGGCGGTCCTCGCAGTGATGACACCCGGACGTTTCCTCCCGCCCCATCAGACACAGGTACCTCCCGAAACTCCCATGTCCGGTGAGGACCTGCGTCAGGCGGTAGGTGAGGACGCCGTAGCGTCTCTCAAGCCACTCCTCAAAGAGGGGACTTACCGCTGCGATGGCAGCGAGCCCAATATTCAGAGGGATAGGATATACTGAGCTAGGGGCAAGGCTAGACTAGGCTTTTTTCTCCTCCAAAAACAGTTATAAAAATATGGGGCGAGTCTATTGCCCCACATCGAGAACAAATTCAGACTCCATTTTACCAATATTACTAAACATATTTAAAAATCCGAAAATCCCTTTAAATACTTTGTCGACTTGGAGATTAAATGCGAGATCTCCTTGTTCTCTACAAACGAGTCACCACAGACGAAAGACGACGCATCAATTATACAATCAAAGTTTAATTGAATTAGATTCTATTCTAATCTAATTAATTAACTAACTACTAACATAAAAAAAAAAC